AATAAAAAGTTATGTGAAGACAATGAACCATGTCAAAGTACTTGTGCTAATTTTTTGGAGAAATTAATAGCGATTATCCCAAAAGCAATAGACTTATCCTTATAAAGAGAACTTCTTGGATTCTTTCCCAAATTTTATGTGATGCTCCAATAACTGGAACCCATATATTTTATACTGATGCAAATAAATCAGGGAATGTAATTACAAATCAGAAGAATTAAGTAAGATGGACCAAAACCCTTATAATTCTGTTCAGAAGACAGAATTATATGCTATCTTCATAGTGCTAAGAAAGGGATTGTAAAGAACCTCTTAGTATAGTTACTGATTCACAATATGCACAAAGAGTTATCCTGCTTGTTGAACCACTGAATTTATACCAGATGATACAGAATTGACTTTATAATTTATCCGGGTGCAAGACATAATCAGGAATAGGTTTTGTCCTATATACAGAACACACATCCAATCTCACATGGGTCTTCCAGGTCCTCTAGCACAAGGTAATGCAGAAATTGATCAATTATTGATTGGAAGCATGTTGCAGGCTTAAAATTTCAAAAAAAAAACATCATGTCAATAACAAAGTTTTAAAGAAAGAGTTTTCTACTACATGAAAACAAGCTAAGGTAATTAGGAAGAGATGCTTTCCTTCTCTTTCTATAACTATATGCAGGGACTAACCCAAAGGTCTCTCAAAGGAATGGAATCTGGCAGATGGATGTGCTCCACTTTACAGAATTTGGAAAATTATAATATGTACACCACACTATTGACACTTATTGGGGCTTTCAGTGAGCAACTGCTTTAATCTTAGAAAAGGATGATTCAGTAATTACATATTTATCATTATAGGTAAAACTGCACAAATAAAGACAGACAGACAATGGTCCAGCATATGTCTATAGGAAAATGAAACAGCTTTTTCCTTACTATAATATTAAGCATATTACATGTGTGTCACATAATCCTACAGGTCAGGCAGTTATAAAAGCATCAAATCAAACTATAAAGGACATGTTAAACAAACAGAAAGGGGTGGAACATATCTCCAGAAATAGATTACATAATGCTTTATTAACCTTGAATTTTCTTAAAGCTATTGAGAAAGGGACAACAGCTGCAGAGAGACAATGGATAATAGAAAAGTCTTCTGAATTAAATCAGATGGTTTATTTCAAAGATGTGCTGACCTAACAATGAAAGCCAGGAGATGTGCTACATTAGGGAAAAAGTTTTGCTTTTGTTTCCACAGGAGAAGAAAAACTATGGATAGCATAAAAATTAATAAAGGTTCGGTTTGAAAAGTTTAAACCTTCTGAAAAAGAGAAATGACAGTTCATTCACAATGATGACAGCCATACAGGTGATAAGGAAAGAATATAGGATTGGGGCAGTGTTCTGTTCTCATCTTTGCAGGAAAATACTCCTCTTCAAAAATTCAAGAGACCCTGGATGTTTGGATGTTGAAAGAAGGAAAAATAACTATCAAATAAGAGTCATCAGGAAAAACAAATATGACTTGTAAGTTCAGGTGATAAATTATAAAAATTAAGAGTTTCTGTCTCATGTCAAGAGCCATTGGGTTTGAAGCAGAAATAAAAAAAGAATTTAAAAAAAAAATACTTTTCTTCATATAGTTATGCCACTATTGTACCTTACATTGAATATATATGTCTGCATATGCCTATATAATAATGTTTAAATTTTCCACAATGAACAATATATTTTCCTACAGTAATCTTTGAAGTTTCCAGGAAGAAGATGGGGCCCCACAACAACAACTCCACCTGGTTTATATGATGTCATTATGCTAATAGCACTACTATAAGTCCAGTTCTGGGTACCAGCTGCTCAATATGGTTTTACCTTGGTTAGGTAAAATGGTGCATTTTTAAAACATTCTGATCAGATGTCCAAATAGGAAGCTTAGAAAAAAATTACCAAATACTCAGAGACTATTTGCAATTATATCAGACAGTAATATTTAAAATTAACCATCATTTTATTTTCACAGGATCCCATAGAAAGAACAACACCTCCATGACAGCTGGAAGTAATTCCAGAAGATGACATCCCCTCTCCCAACAAACTTTGTCCTCAGAGTTATGGCCATCATTTAGGGGTTGATTATAATTGGTATAGGGTTTGGGGTTGGGGGAAATTTTTATAGGCTCAGGGAACTCTTTGAAAAAAGGGGGGAAATTGGATGGGATAATAGATTAGTATGAACTACTCACATAATAATAATAGTAAGTAATAGAGTGAATACTTGTGAGTTATTATTTATAGGCAATTACATTGGTATAGATTCTTATATACTGATACAAAGTAAAATTATATTGAATATTGTATGCATACATGCTTCTACCTATGCTTAAAACTTTTTTATATATTGATATATTTATCATATGGCAATGTACATTTCTACCTCTGATCAAGATACTTATACATTGTTTACATTTTGAGATCATTGTCCTCTTTTGTTGCAGAGTTGTTTATTGTATAATATTTCAATATGAATTCATAGTCTTTAAGTTATTCAGGTATTAAGAATTATAGATCAATGTTTGTCATACATATAATTAAACTAATCAGGTTCTTCAGATACATAGAGATTATATTCTGCATAGATAGTTAATCTTCAACAACTTTAAAGAGCTGTAGAATATGCCATTTAAAAAATTTAGGGTTTTGTTGAAGTGAGACACAATTGCTGCTGACAGTACCAATCTATTCCTGAGAGAATGTTGAATACCAAAAACACTCCACTTGGAGCTTGTTTTCTTCTTGGCAAAACTGGCCTTTGGGCAAGGAACTCCCATGCCTCAATCACTGACAAGGTACATGGTATTTAGAAATGGATAAGCAGGATACAAGGAAAAAGACAAGGTAAGACTGTTTTGAAAAATTTCATGACTCTGAAACTGATCTGTCAATTATTCTAGGCCTTAGCCAAAGTTGGTTACTTCAATGTTGCAAATGAGACTTTGGTTGATTGCCCAGGTAGCCAGTTGTCTCTGTCATTTGTTGCACATTTTAGAAGTTGTTTGATTGCACTTCCTGCTTACTCAAGTAATATTATTTCCCTTCTTGGATCATTGATGGGGTTGAAGACTAGATAGTTGTAGTTATTTTCTTCTCATGAGTTTGGCAAGTTATTTATTATATAAGATATAAATTAGTTAGGATAAGATAATTATTTAATATGTTTGTTATTATTGTATATAATTTTGCATTAAGCTTAGAACTCTCTCTTATTTAAACAAAGGGGGAGGTGCTGTAGGAAGTGTTACAGCCAGTGGTTACTTGCACACTGGGTCGTGGCCTATTATACTATATAAGCCAATGTAGAGCATGCATCCAGCGTCACTCTTTTTCAGCTGCAGGATTGGTTTCTGATCTCCATTCAAGCAGAGGATTCTGACTTGTGAGTTTACCCCTAAATAAATAACTGTCTAATTCTCAATTCTGAGCTAGTGTGGATTTCTTTTAAGCATCCTTCTTCAGCAAAGTGTCACCAAATCTCCATAATTCTAACATTAAAAAGTTTGCATATTCTGTCTGCCACAAAGGGTCATTATAACTATCATTTGCTATTTAATTAGTCAGAAAATTTAAAATCTAAGACCAAGGTCATCTGTCTTATTTTAATGTAAATAAACATAATCATATGAACTTGAACAAACAAGATAAAATAATACTCTAATCTAAAAGGTTATAAAATATAATAGTTATACTCTAATATAAAAGGTTACAGTATATAAAAAGACAAACATATGCTTTGAGCCTCAGAAAAAGCTAAGAAAGTCACATTTTTATAATTCTTTATAAAATCAATGATAAGGAAGATACAATATTTTCTATCCTTAATTTTAATCTTTTGCTGTGATATTCTATGTTCAATGACAAAATAGAATCATTTTTGACAATTTTTACATATATATAACTTTTAACTTTAATATAACTGATCAAATTAGTGATTAATTCACAATTTAAATGACAATAACAAACAACATATAGTTATGATTAGGTTTATTTTTTCATAATTTGAAAAGACATATTCTGCTACATCAAAACAATAAGAAAAGCAAGTGCACAAATAAGTGGTCACTGCTAATATTTAAAATTTGACAGTCAGAAACAGGAACTGTAAGCACTATTTCAATATGACTTCATGATTTTGTGATGATATATGGATGCTATATGGATAACCAATAAATATTCACTGAATCACTCATATTTCACAAAATATCAGAATGAAGTATGCTTTACATTATATGTGATTTAGTACAAATATACAAAATTAGTTCAAATATTTCATTCTAGAAATAGGATAAGGTAGAGGCATTCATGTTCAGTTTCTTCATTTTATCTACAAATGTATAGTCTAACCTGTGAAGGTTATAGGATAATAACCTAAAACTCCACTCATTGCCTTAACTATCAGCACAATAGTGAAGGAAAGTTAAGATACCATCTTAGTAAATGGAAAATTTAGGAGGCAATGCCTAGTCAGTAGCATTTCAACTGTGTTTTCAAATGTACCTGATTTTTAAATTTCCAGAGTTTTTCATTAAACATTCCATTTAAGAATAGACATGAACATGTTCATATATATAATAAACATATATTCATATGCTAAAAGCTATGAAACATCCATTCATTTTATTGTCAGCATTCAAAAAGCAGAATGACACATTTTAATTAAAAGAGCATTTTTATTATATTTGATTTTATTATATCTTTATTTTATATAGAACCCATAATCACTTACTAAGAAAAACTCAAAAAATTAGTAATGATATCATAGGAAGCATGAATTGTGGTGAGAAATTTAATAACATAAAGTAAAATGCCCTATATATTAAGTTACATATAGATTTTTAAATTTAAGTAATTTCTAAAACATTTAACATATATCAATCTCTGTTTTAAAATTTATCTATTTGTATAGAGAATATACTAAATAAGTGTGGGACTGGTCAGCCAGGACTTACATGTTTCTGTAGCTAGGACACTCAGGTTGAACCAAGCACTGACCTCCCTGTCAAGCACATTAGTGGTAATTATTGTTCCATTGTCATTGATATCGAACAATTTGCTTCCCGTGAGTGAATATCTGCACCAAAAGGAAAAGAGAAAAAACAGATAGTATTATTCATTTTAAAGAAATTTTATAGGGAGCAACAAATTTCAAAGTTTTAAGTCAAATTATTAAGTACATATTTTATTTAGCAAAGATGATGGTGAATAATTCTAATAAATTACATTCACATAATAAAGAATCTGGGCAGAATAGATGCCTTTTCACATCAGTCACAAAATAGCAGTTATTGAAAAACAGTCCTTTAATTTGAAAGAAAGCATGAAGCTTTTATGGGAAGATTTGTAGGAAGGAGAAGAAACAAATGATGTAATTATATTAAAATATCCAAAATTAATATAAATAATTTTTGAAAAGTTGAAATTAAAATGAGTTTAGAATGAAATGGAGATATTTAAAATGCAAATACCTGACTCTCCTACGCATATCTGTGACAGAGTTTTATTTGATGAAGGATTTTTTTGAAACCAATTGCAAGATAGATGTTTGTTTCATGTTTTTTGTTTTTGTTTTTGCTTTTTTTTTTTTTTTTTTTTTTTTTT